AGTGAGACCATCCAAGCTCAGAGTTTTCTTGGTGGGAAGGTTTCACTACAAATTCAATATAAGAGCTATAGAGCTATTCAAGTTGAATGAGCTTTCGTAGCAACTGTCTTTTGAGAAATCAGTTCATTTCATTTCATCTAACATGAATTGATTCAAAATGTTTTACTCATACTTTATTATTTTTTTAATAATTGTAGACTATATAGTATTATCATCATTTCAGAAATATGGGATTCTTTCCCTCTTCATGATCAGCTTTGCTGGATATTTATTAACTTTTCTCATCTTTTCAATGATTCAGCTTTTGGTTTCATTGTTTTTTTGTTTTCTTTTTTATATATTTGCACACTCATCTTTATTTTTCCTTTCTTCAGCTTAGTTTGTGTTATATTTGCTCTGCTTTTTATATTTTCGCAGGATGGAAGCTTAAATCTTTGTTTAGAGATTTTTCTTCCTTTCTAACATACATATTTATTGCTATTAATTTCCTTTAGTTGCTACATTATCAACTATCTGCAAGTATTGATATGCTTTTTTTTTCATTTAGTTCAAAATACTTTCTAACTTCCCTTTTGATTACTTCTTTGACCAATGACCTATTTAAATATATATTTGGTAGACAAGCCAATGGCCTGCTGATTAAGGTGGCTGGATCCCACATGGCTGACTAAATGGTTTGTGCCTCAGACTTGGTGGCTTGGAAAACATGCCCAAAATCCTAAAAGGGATAAATAGAAAAGAAATTGTGCAAAGAATTGTGCATGACCGTGCTCGTGTTTTCTTGCTTTTTCTCTCTGTTTCTCCAGTGAGTGCATAAATCTTTTGGCAAAATTGTTCTTAATATATGTGGTTTTCAATATTTAGGATTTTTTCCAGAGCTTTTTCTGTTACTGACTTCTAATTTTATTGGTGGCCAGAAAATAGAGTTGGTATGACTTGTCTACTGATAATTTGCTGACATTTTTTCCCCTGTCGGTAACATCTCTGAATACTTATTATATTCTCTCTTTATTATTAATTTTGAATAATTTGTTTATGATGTGACTTATTGTATTTATGTTTATATTTCTTATTCTTGGGACCAGTGTGATTCTTGGATCTTTGTGTTTATAGTTTTTATCAAATTTGGAAAAATTGAGCTATTATTTCTTCAAATAATTTTTTGATTCAACCCTCATTTGGAAACTCCAATTACATATACATTAGGGTGTTTTAAATTATCCTATAACATCTGATATTCTGTTTTTTTCTTTTTGTGTATGTGTGTTTATTTTGGATTTTTTTCTGGGTTTTTAATGCTCTAATTTTATCTTCTACATTATCTATTCTGCTATTATTCTATTAATCTAATTCAATATAATTTTCATTAAAGGTAATAAAATTTCATCACTAGAAGTTTAATTTGGGAGATATAGATGTATTTTTCTCATACTCCTCTCAAGTCTCTAGTTACTATTATTTGTATTCACTCTTTCTTTTGGGTATAGAACATATGGTATACAGTTATAATAACTATTTTAATATTCTTCTCTGCTAATTAACATCTGTGTCAATTTTGATTATTTTTCTCCTCATTAGATCTCATATTTTTCTGCTGCTTTGCATGCCTGGTAATTTTTTTATTGATTGCCAGATGTGGTGAATATTACCTTGTTGGGTACTGGATATTTTTGTATTCCTATAAAATATAAAACAGGAGTTTTGTTCTGGGACACAGGTTACTTGGGAAAATTGATACTTTCAGATCCTATGTCTTAGACCTTCTAGGTAGGAAAATAGTAGAATTTTTGTCCTCATTACTCAGGCAAGCTCTGTCTGGATAGCCTTGCCCAGCATTCTGTGAATGAAGAGATTTTTCCATAAGACTGGTGGAGGCAGAGCTATTCCTGACCCTTTGTCAATGCTCATACTATTCTCTCCTGTCAAGTAGTTCTTTCTCCAGCCTCAGGTAGTTTCTCTCACATATGCACTGACCAGTATTCTACTTAATTCCCTCCTGCAGATCTCTGGAGATTTTTCTCTGTGTAACACTCTTCTCCAGTATTCTGACATGCAAACTTCAGCAGCCTTTTTCTTCTAGAATGTTTAGCTCTGTCACTTGAGCTTAGTTGTTTCTTCTCAATGTAAGAGTCTGCTGAGCTTGCCCTTTTTGCATTGTTGCCTGAATATTATCTCAAGGCAATGAGCTGGGAGCAATTATAAGTTACATTTACATCTTATCTCTTAGGGACCAATGTCCTTCATTTTCTGATATTCATTGTCTTGAAAATCATTTTTTAAAGTTTTTAAAATTACTTTAGGTAGAAAGATAAATATATATCCTGTAGAATTTATCTTAAAATGTTTATTAATGGGAAGATTTTATAGTATTAATATATAAAATCCCCCCAAATCAACTTTAAGTCAATAAAACTTTAATCAGAATTACAGAATTTTTATTAAACTAGAAATGCTGATAAAAGTATATGAAAGACTTACTTTTCTAAAAATTTAACAGAATTCCTGTAAACCTGTCATGCTTTGGGTTTTATTGCCTTACATTGTTTACTTGCCTTCATAGTTCTTATCACCCCTTGACTATCATCTTTATCTGTTTCTTTTTTTTTTTTTTTTTGCTATGACTAACCCCCAGTAGAATGAAAGATAAATAAGAACATGAATTTTTGTTTTGTTCACTACTATACCCCTAGCATCTAATGTATATACACTAAATACATATCAACTGAATGAAAAACACATGGCCAAGACAATTCTGATTAAAAAGAAGATTGGTATTTTGGTTTGGCAGATATCAAGATGTTAGAAAGTAATAACAATTAAAATAATTTAGGTATTATTGCATGAATAAATAAAAAAAAAACAATGGAACAAAATAGAGAACCCAGATGTAGCCCTTGTCATATATAAAACTTGGTTAACTTATGATAGAAGTAGGGTTATAAATGGTTATAAATCCATTATGAAAAGATGGATTTAGTTAACAAATATAGCTCAGAAAATGATTTTCCTTAAAGGGAATATAAGTATCTTCCTCATGCTATATACACAAATAAATTCTATGTGGGTTAAAGATTCTTTTTTTTATATACATTCAATCACATTATTTAGCTTACAAAACGTTTTAAGAATAAATCTATAAGAAAATCTTTGTAACTCCATGTTAGGGAAGAAATTTTTTAGATGCAAAAGCACATCTTTTAAAAAAAAGATTATTAAATTTGATCATGTAAAAATGTAAACCTACTTTTATTCAAAAAGCTCATAAATACAGTGAAAAGTATAAGACACAACTTAAAGAAGATATTTAAAACTTGTATAACAGTCAAAGAATTAGTATAAAACTTTACATTTGTATATTAAAGTCCTATCCAAAAAGAAAGATAAACAGTGAGAAAAAGGACAAAAGATTTGAGCAGGAAATTCATAAAATATAAAAACTGGATAGTCAACAAACACATAAAAATGCTTATCTTTATGTATAATCAGATAAAACAAATATAACATGCTATTTCATACCTACAGATTGTCAAAACTAAAGTTTAGCAATGTCAAATATTGATAAAACTTGAGCAATGTGAATGTTCCACATAATTCAAAAAGTATAAATTTATATAACCACTTTGAAGAACAATTTTGCAATCTTTAGTAAAGTTAAAAATATTCCCACCTTTTTCTCAGCAGTTGGTGTAATGGCTATGTCGCTGAACTCCCATGCAGTTGACCGCAGTTCGAGTGCCAGACACGGTGGCTTAAACTCATGACGGGCGCGTGTGTGTGCGTGCCCAAGATCCCAAGAGGAGAATGGAGGAGAAGGGATTGCAGCGTGGCCATCCCCCCTAGGAGGGGTGATTTCTCACTTTCTGTCTCTCTTGTCTCTCTGTCTTTCTGGCAAATACATGTGCCCTATAGCAAAAACGTCTCTAAAAAAAAAAGGAAAAATAAATCCCCGCTGCATATTCAGCAATTTAATCTCTAGATTCAAGTCTAGAGGAACTCTCAGGCTTGTGAAAAGGACATATGCAGATGGAAGTTTATTTGTTCAAGTAACATTTTGGAAGCATGTAAATGTTGTCACTATGGAGAATAGGTACATAAAATGTAGCACAGTAATTTATAATCTAGCAGAATTTCTCAAGCACAGTTTAGAGAAAGAATTAACTTCAGTGGACTAAGGCACCCATTGTAAGTAAGGAATGAACTCCCTCCTATACATCTAGAATGGTACTAGTTTTGTATTACCCTTGGGAGAAAATAGGTACTCAAAACATTGTTGTGAGTTCCGTGTTCAAATTAAAGAACACTTAAGTTTAGTAATCTTGAACGGTATGTATCATATGGAAAGATGTCAAAATATGCATAATTTTAAAAACCAAGATGAAATAAAATACATATAATATAAAAGTGTTTATGTAAAATTTAGAAACATAATATAGCATTGTATATTGTTCTTGGATATTATTTAAATTCGAAGTCTTCAAAAGTTTATAGAAAATCATATTTAAAAAAATGTACATGGAGTTCACAAGTTTTCACACAAAAATAAACTTGTATTTTAATTCCATCTTCCACAAACTTTATGAAATCCTCAGCTATGTAGTAAAACTATAAAAACAGAAACTGGAATGATACGTTAATAAAATACACAAGTATTTATTAATGATACACAAGTTAATAAAAGTGGTATCTGAAAAAAAAGTAAAGAGGCAATAAGCATGAGAAATTTTCATTTTATAACTAAAATTTCATTTCTTTCATATCTAAACTATATCTAAAGCAATAATGTTAAAATGCCAGAATTAATTACTTTTGGATACTGGGTACACAGATATTTGATAATACTTTCATACTTATTCAATCTAAAAAAACCAGAAATTAAAATTTTGTGTAAGACATTTTTAAAAAGAAAGTAAAATGGCACATAAACTGGTACCTCTCAAACCTTTTCTGTCTTTCACT